GGAGAGAAACTTTTTAGCGTACTGCTTTTCGAATCTTGTTACTAATGGGGCAAAGTCCACGATCGTATCATCTAGTATATTTAGTTCCTTTAGGAAATCGTTTTTGTCAAATGGCCCCCCTCGCAAAGCGGTACGGAGGTCAAGTAATATTTTCTGGTAAGTTGAAAAAGCAAACTTTGACATCTCTATTTTTCGTTTATAGTTTTTCGTGTCAGAAAGCGTTTTAAGAACTAAACCAGCGCCTGATATGCTTCCTAGAATGGCCGGGTTGGCCGTCAAACCACCAGCAACAGCTCCAATCACTATCAATCCAGTGGAGGATATATTTATGGCCAGGTTTAGTTTCTTAAAGTGTTTGAAGGCCTGTCGGTGACACCAATATTTATAATGATAATACTTATACAGTTCTTTGATTTCCTGTATCTCTTCTTTTGTTTTGCTTCTATCTACATGATTAAACTTAAATATGTTTTCTTTTTGACTCATTATATTTTTAGTTTAGATAAATTACAGAACATAAGAACCATTCAATTTCTCCTGCACCATTATTCTGTGAAATTCGATAGAATCGAAGTCATGAAAGTTTGGAGTGTACATTACTCGATATATCACTGTATCTTCTGAGAATATTCTGAATGTTTAGTTACTCTGAGATTTTAAAGTTGTACCTAGTGTTAATGTTGCACTGTGATTACTAACTGATGCCTTTGCTGCTAAGTCAACCCCTGTACCTTTCTTAGTCAACCAAAACACAACACGTTTACCATTGAAACTGTTTAGTAATGTGATAGAAGTTTCATTAGTTGTTGACCCATAAACATTAGTTTGCAGTTTTAATTTATTTGTTGTTTTGTCATAAATCAAATGTGGTCTTTCATAAGCTTCATTACTCATCAATGTTTTAATACTAAACGATCGGTTCAGCCACAGCTGCATAACAACACAAAGAGTAAAGCTCCTTTTACTGAATAATTTCAAACTTAATGTGGTATTTTTTATTCTCAATCCGCCCTCCCAAATATTGGCAGTATCCATTCTAGGAAAAGAAATATTAGGTAGGATGCCTGAAACCATGATACCTAATACTCCTATTATTATTTTATAGTTACTAGCATCACTTAAATCATAAAATTCCTCAAACATTTCCCTGTACACATTATTCTTTGTATGAGGGCTCAATTTTGTCTCCAAATCTTTGACCATCTTTACAGTAGCAGCCGAATTATTTTTTTGTGCGATCTGGCGCTATATTCAGTATCTTCTTTCTGTTCATATCCAGATCAACATTATAAACAACTTCAGTCGGTTTAATATCAAAAGCTGTATGGTAATCATAAGTTTTGTTTGGATCTAAATCCATTGTTTCGCCAAGAATACCGTAAGCTATTAGGTAACATTTATTGAAATTAGTTGGATATGTGTTCAAGTCAATTCCCGACTGTGCCATAACATCCTGGATATGTAAGAAATAAGGGGTGAAGGTTGCTGTCTTACTAACTGTCACCAGGAGTTTATGATTGTACATATATTCAACTTGATTGGAAGATGTTCTATACTCATGTGAGTACTTATTGACATGCCAATTTTTTACAGTCACTCCCTGGCTGGTAGTTATCAACAGTAATTACAGATTTGTGCCATAATTTATAGTCAGTAGTAAGGATTTCCAAACAAAGGGTATATTCTTTGTCCTTCTGAAGGCGATAGCTTTGAATAGCTAATCGCCATTTATAACCACCCCCTGAATTCTTCTTAATGGATGCGAAAATCATCTTTTTATTGTATGCGTGGTAGTTGCCTGATGTTGCATTCAAATCACCAATGCTGTTTAGGGCAATACTGTCAGTTAGTAAATCAGTCCATTGTAAAAGACCATTTGTAGGGTCCATGAGATATGCAAATCTGTTAGTATGATCAGATGCCTTTATAAAATGTTTATTCAATGTTCTCAGATTAACCCAATCAGTAGCATCAGTTGGGTCAGCTAGATTGGTTATTTTATTGTTTCCCATTTTCAAATCACCAGTCATAGAATTAATGCCAGTTCTCTGTAAAAATTTATTTTTAGACCACCCTAAAGTAGCAGCTTCACTAGAGTATTCATATCCACTTTGTACTAAACCAAGTAAATTAGTATTGTTAACCTGGAATTGGTTATTGATTTATATTA